CCCTCCTCTTCCCCCACTTTCTCCTCCTCCTCCCTTTCCCCTTCTCCTTTCCTCCTCCTCCTTCTTCTTCTCTTTCTTCTTCTCCTCCTTCCTCTTCCTCTCCTCCTTCTTCTCCTCCTTCCTCTTCTTCTTCTTCTTCTCCTTTTTATTAAATCACTCAACAAACATTTACTTAGCATCCTCTTTTTGTTGAGAAGTGGGCTCCCAGCTGGGGTAGACGATGGATTGTTTCAACTTTAACACCATCCCTGTAGTCACTTGCATTTAGAAAGCTGAATATCAGTTGTTTATCTTGTGATTACCAAGACATAGGGGCTATAATGAAAATCATGGAAACTAGACCTAAAATTATATCGCTAACCAACTGGTGCATGAGCAAACCTGGAGCAAAGTTTCATGTAAGCATTACTTTTGTTTTGCTTTGTGGCTCACATTCAGCTGTAGGTGGCTTGTCCTGATAGGGTGGGGAAGGGACACAGTTCAAAAGGAGATAACAATTTAAATGAGCCTTTTACAATGTGATTATCTTGATAATTCATGAATATGTTTATGACTCCTTTGCAAGGCTCTGGGTCAGCCCCAGGGGATGCACAGATATGGGGCCTCACAAGAGGGAGTGCATGTATTTGTTATTAGTATACATACAAATTAGCAATTATTGACTTCCTTCAATGTGAGGCACTATTCTAGGTATTTTATTTCATTTAATCCTCACAACAATTTGAAAACTGGCATAACTAATCCACTTTACAAATAAGGAAACTAAAAGTCAGTGAGATTAAGTAGCTTGTCAAGGTTGAGTGAAAACAAGTCATTAGGGTTGGGATTTGAAACTAGGCCTCTCTGGTTCTCTCTGGTTCCAACTAGATCTCACCTGCCTGCACATTAGAATCACCTGAGAAGCTTAAGGAATATACTGGTACCCTAGTACCAGATCCCAGATACTCTAATTTCATTGGTTTGGGATAAGGCCTGAGCAGTGAGAGTTTACAAAGCTCCCTGCTGATTCCACAAGAAGCCAAGGCTGAGGCCCATAGTAACTCAAGCATGCTCAAGCATAACTCTTAGGAAAAAGGTACAAAATTTGAGGAAAGAAACATTGAGGTGTAAAATAAGTCTTCATTTCCTGAATAAACATCAGTTGATAATAGAAAAGGCAAACTAAGATGGAAGGCTATAGTCTGAAATGAAAATCTATCATTTTGAACCTGCATAAAATCAAGATGTGAATTTAATGGGAACATTTCTAATGAATGGGCAATTCTACTCAGCAATAAACTTTAACCAAAATATACGAAGAATCTCTTTGTATTTCTTCATATAAATTGTCTGGAACAGAGGTAACATGAACAAAAATTTTTTCTATTTCTTCTCATTTGTTTCAGGAGAAACAAAAACTTACAGATGGAATGTCCCTAAAAGGTCCGGTCCAGGGCCGTCTGACCCAAATTGTATTCCATGGGTTTACTATTCAACAGTAAACTTTGTGAAGGTAAGGTGGAGAGAGCCACCAAATTGCTCAAAGTGATGTGGCTTTAAGCTGACTCTTCAAGTTATCACAACTATGGTGGGTATATGTGAAGAGATGTATTGGTTTAGAGCAGGGGTCTCAAACTATGGCCATGCCTGTTTGTTTGCATTATTGATGATGAAGTTGAGTAGTTGTGATGGAAATGGTATGGGTCACACAGTAAAAAATACTTGCTATCTGGTGCTTTACAAAAACAAAGTTTGCCGACACTTGATCTAAAGTATACGGGGAAAAAAATAAAATCTCAATGTTTCAATTACCAAATTTAGAACTTACAAGGTAGTTTGAAGCAAGAGTGGATATGTAAAATAGATAATCATAAATAAATATATTTTTTAATTTAATTTATACCATGGTTTTTGATGTGTGAAAAAGGGCTCAGGAAAGAAAACACACTCCAAGTAAACTTGGTAACTGAAACTACAAAATATTTGAATGATAAATAGGCTAACTTTACTTAGAAATTAAAGGCAAAGATTCAATATTGAACTTGAATCAGGTATGTGTATATAAAACAACTAGTCTAGAATTATACTTCATAAATCGAAGTCCGAATTAAGGTCATATCTGATATAAAATGTGAACATTGCCCATTATTCTAAAAAGTGAGGGATTATCTTAGCCTTCATTTTAAATATTAGATGGCTGCATTAATGTCCTTGAGTTGTATTGGAGAGCACAAGAGTTCAGGAGAAACATACCAGACCCTTGAAAAAGAAACTTACATATTAGAATTATGGGAAACCCACATTTATGTGTTGATTCCTTTGTGCATCCCAACAAATATTTATTGAGCCCTTGTGATGCGCAAATGACCCCACCAAGTACTATGAGGGCTGCAAATATTCTTGTCTTGAAGGAACTTATCATCTTCGGGGAAAATAATACGTGTGCACACCCATAATGATACTACAACTCTGAATCTGGTGAGTTATAGGAGTGCAGGGCTATAGAGGAGCCATTGGGAAGAGAGTCTAGGAAGAGAAAACATCATGAGTCAAGCTGAAAATAGGGAAGTAGAAGGTGTGTTTGGGAAATGTTGAGAGTCCCATGCGGCTATCATCTAGGGTAGAAAAGGAAAGCAGTAAGGGAGCATAAGCTAGAAAAGTCCACTGGGAGAGCACATGAGGGGCTTCAGGTCCTGTCGAGGATTAGTCTTTTATTCAGTAGGACCATCACTGGAAAGTCACTGAAGACCTCTAGATATGGGAGTGATGACATTAATCTGATGGTTGTCAACAGGATGCGCTGGAGGTGTGGAGAGCAGAGACCAGAGAGGAGCCAATTTCTAGTCCAGGGTGAGGTATTAATATCCTACACTAGAAGGATGGCAGATAGAATGGAAAGGGAGTTACAGAATGGAGAGGCATTGTGAAGGGAAAAGAAATGTAAGATTTGATAGCAAATGAGATGGGATGGAGTGAGGAAGATGGAGGAAGTAAACACTGAAACCAAGTTTCCTGAACTAAATGACAAGGAATATCATAGTGCTATTAGCAGAAATAGAGAATTCAGGAGAAGGAAATGGTTTGAGGGAAATACTAAAATTCACTTTAGAAATGCTTAGCAGATTGAATTATTACAAGAGGTACATCCAGGTAGAATAGCTAATATGCAGTTGAAAATGTGGGAGTTTTCCATCAAAAGAAATCTCAGGGCTGAGTAAGTTGACATGGAAGTCATCCATGGGCTCATATCAATTCCTAAATCATCCAGCTAACTTTTACCCATACGATGTGGAATATAAGCATCTGTATATACCTATAAATACAGTCTCACTTGGGTTTCACCTCACACCAGTCAAAATGGCCATCATCAAAAAGTCTACAAATAATAAATGCTGGAGAGGGTGTGGAGAAAAGGGAACCCTCCTTCACTGTTGGTGGGAATGTGAATTGGTGCAGCCACTATGGAGAACAGTATGGAGGTTCCTTAAAAAACTAAAAATACAGTTACCATATGACCCAGCAATCCCACTATTGGGTATATATCCAGAAAAGATGAAAACTCTAATTCAAAAAGATACATGCACCCCAATGTTCATAGTAGCACTATTTACAATAGCCAAGGCATGGAAGCAACCTAAATGTCTATCAACAGATGAATGGATAAAGAAGATGTGGTGTATATATATATATATATATATATATATGTATACACACACACACACACACACACACACACACACACACACAATGGAATATTACTCAGTAATTAAAAGGAATGAAATAACATCATTTGCAGCAACATGGGTGGAACTAGAGATGATCATACTAAGTGAAGTAAGCCAGACAGACAAAGACAAATATCATACGGTATCACTTGTATGTGGAATCTAAAAAAAATGATACAAATGAACATATTTACAAAACGGAAATAGACTCACAGACATAGCAAACAAACTTATGGTTACCGAAGGGGAAAGCGGGGGTGGGGGATAAATTAGGAGTTTGGGATTAACAGATACACACTACATATAAAATAGATAAACAAGCACCTAATGTATAGCACAGAGAACTATAGTCAACATCTTGTAATAACCTATAATGGAAAAAATCTGAAAAAGAATATTATATATTTATATATATATGTATATATGCATAACTGAATCACTGTGCTGTACACCTGAAACTAACACAACATTGTAAATGAACTACACTTCTATAAAAAAATACAGTCTCACTTGAAAAGCACACAGGAAAATAAAAATAAGCATTTGTTTATTCAACAAATATTTATTTAACACCTTCTATGTAGTAGACATTGGGCTCTGCTCCGGAGACTCAGCTATGAGTGAAGGACACAGCCTCAGCCCTCAAAAAGCTCACTCTTGGGCTTCCCTGGTGGCGCAGTGGTTGAGAGTCTGCCTGCCGATGCAGAGGACACGAGTTCGTGCCCCGGCCCGGGAAGATCCCACATGCCGCGGAGCAGCTGTGCCCGTGAGCCATGGCCGCTGAGCCTGCGCGTCCGGAGCCTGTGCTCCGCAACGGGAGAGGCCACAACAGCGAGAGGCCCGCGTACCGCAAAAAAAAAAAAAAAAAAGTGCTCACTGTTAGCAAATTTTTAGAAATAGTCCTAAATTTTCACAAAGATCACCCTATTCTTCAGGATTTCTTAGTACTTATTCCTTGGTCAATAGTCTTTTAGTAGTTTTACAATGACTTTCTTACAAGCAAATAATCAGTGTTATTAAATTATTCAAAGGCTCTTCTAATTCAGTTTATTTTTCTTTCAGGATACCTGTAGTGGTTTGATGGGTCCTCTGATTACATGCAGGGAAGGAGTGTTAAATGAAAAGGGAAGAAGAAGCGACGTTGACTCTGAATTTGTTCTCTTATTTTTGGTATTTAATGAGAATGAATCCTGGTATCTGGATGACAATATTAAGAAGTATCTTAATAAAGATCCACGAGATTTTAAACCCTCTGATGATTTTGAGGAGAGCAACAAAATGCATGGTATATCACAGGTTTAAAAAGGAGACAAGCTCATAGAAATCTGTGGAAGGTCCCAGCCTCCCTCTTGTCGAGATAAGCTCACAGAAATCTGTGCAAGGTCCCAACCTCCCTCTCTGAGCCCTTCTTTATTCCCAGGGGCACCTGGACTGAAGAAAGTCCTCTAAAGCCTTCCTTCAGAGGGAACCAGACAAGCCATTTATTGGCTGCCCGCAAGATCCAATGAGGTTTTGGACCAACTGTTTAGGGAGCTGTATCTCTGAATGCTGGGATCCCTAAACTATCAGTCTGTAAAGTAATTCCTAGGAAATGAATTATCACTTTTTGGTATATTTCTGTAAGAATACAGGATAACTTCTAGTTGATCAAATTTGAGGGGCTGGTTTAACTGTCTCTGGAACATGAAACACCATCACCAAATTTCTGTTTTAATGTGTCTATGTTATTTAATTCTTTGAAATTTAAGGTACTTCTTTTTTTTAAGTGTAAGTAATGTGTTCTAATTGACATACCTATCCTCTCTCACCGAGATCTACTTTTGGCCAAAAGTATGCAAAAACATAGGTCTTGCCCAAGATAACAAAGCCAGTTAATTGCTAACATTGATTAGAATATAGTAGCCTGACCTCTGATTCAGCTACTCTTTCCCCTACAATTTTGCCTCCCTCTCCCAAAGGTTTCTTAGTAGGCTCTCTCTTTTTAATGAACGTAACTCATTTGGTTGTGTCATGATGCAAAGAATAAAAAGTTAGTAGAAAGCGGAGGAGTGAACGTCCCCGCCATGTCAGCCCAACTTGAGCTTGTTTTAGTGATTGTCAGATCATGGGTTCAGCCCATGTGAAGTTTTCCTTTTTTTGGAGATTCAGCCAGGTTTAGGAACTTGCCCCAAACTAGTTCTCAGAAAGTGAAATATTAAGGAAATACCTTTTAATTGCTTCAGTTTTGATTTATATAAACTTAATTCTCTGGCTTTTGTCCACTCAACTGTAGAACGGTATAAATCTGGCGACCTCACACATGAGGCGGTAATCCACCCCATAAAGGGAATGTGCCTATTTGGCATGTTCCAACCAACATGTACTGCTACCCAAGAGATAGCTTTTAAAAACAAACTACTGTTTCTCTTTTCTGGCTATCTTTTATAGGGATTTCTTAGTACTCTGAATTTAGGGTCTTAGATGGTGGGGACATTGGCAAGTGTGAGTGAGATTATTACATGTTTACCAGGCAGACGAAAATATGGGTGACCTGAAGATCTTCTTGAATCAGTTCTAAAACCAGATTAAGTAATCATCACTAATCAAAGGCTGTTCTCTTTTTACCTTCTTAGCTATTAATGGAAAGATTTTTGGGAATCTCCATGGCCTCATCATGAATGAAAATACAATGACAAACTGGTATCTATTAGGAATAGGAAGTGAAGTGGACATACACACCATTCATTATCATGCTGAGAGCTTTCTTTTCAAGGTAAGTGTAAGAAAAGTGTTTTGAGGAAGACTTACTAACAGATTCAATATATTTCCATTGTGAAAAGAGAGTTATTTGGCAATAAGGCTTGTGAGGGGTGTTAGTGAATATTAGAGAATGGAACAGAAAAATATGATTGTGTCCTTCCACTGGTAGATATTTCTTAATATGTATTTTATTATGCTTGTTAAAAAAAAAAAAAAAAAAACCCTGAGGGCTTCCCTGGTGGCTCAGTGGTTGAGAGTCCACCTGCCGATGCAGGGGACACGGGTTCGTGCCCCGGTCCGGGAAGATCCCACATGCCGCGGAGCGGCTGGGCCCGTGAGCCATGGCCACTGAGCCTGCGCGTCCGGAGCCTGTGCTCCGCAACGGGAGAGGCCACAACAGTAAAAAAACCTCTGAGTTTCAGATGAGTTTTCTTATCAGTTATATGGGGATAATTCTGACCTGGAGTATCGTATATGAAAGTACCCATAGTATTTTGTCCCTTTTCCTCTTTTATTTATTTATTTTTCTTTTCTCTTTTCTCTTTCCCTTCCCTTTTTCCATTTCTTTTCTATGTGATTAGCCAACAGAATAATCCTCTCTAGTAAAGGAGATATTTCAAGCTTTGGCTTGGGCCCAAAATTTTACCTTGACTTTTGCCCTCGTGGGCTGGGCTGGACCATGTGTGGCTTTCTGCCTTTCGAGCATCAAGCTATACCATATGGGTGGTGCTGGCTGTGCTGAATCACCTGGGGAGCCATTGAAGAAGCAGATTGCCAGGCCCCACCCCAGACCTGATGAATCAGAATCTCAGGGATAAGGTCCAAATATTCTGTCATCTCAAGAGCTGTGCAGTCTACAAGGAAGTAGAATAGAAAAGAATAATCACATCTAATCTGCAGGGAAAACCTGCGCTGCTCCTTTTCCAATTATACAGGAATGATCAGCGACTAATTAAACATCTAATATCCTCTCCCCTCTGTATATTCATTCAACACAGTTTAAGATCCCAAGTATCTTAAACCTACAATGATTTTAGTTTCACATATTAAATGGCTATGCTGCTTTTCAGAACTTGGCTTTTTCAATCCGCATTTTTAAAATTATATTAAAAATATATAAAATTTAGTAAAATTTATAAAATCATACAATTATTTTACATACATATAAAAATTATTTTACATACATACATAAATATTTTATTTATTTATTTATTTATTATTTTTGGCTGTGTTGGGTCTTCGTTTCTGTGCGAGGGCTTTCTCCAGTTGCGGCGAGCAGGGACCACTCTTCATTGCGGTGCACGGGCCTCTCACTATCGTGGCCCCTCGTTGCGGAGCACAGGCTCCAGACGTGCAGGTTCAGTAGCTGTGGCTCACGGGCCCAGTTGCTCCGCGGCATGTAGGATCCTCCCAGACCAGGACTCGAACCTATGTCCCCTGCATTGGCAGGCAGACTCTCAACCACTGCGCCACCAGGGAAGCCCCCACAAATATTTTAAATTACGCTATAGTTTACACTGAGTAAAATGCATGCTACTTAGTGTACAGTTCTGTTGTGATAAACACATACAGTGGTGTAACCAACACTAATCAAAATACGGAACACCTCTATCAACCCCCTAAAATGTCCCCTTTGCACCCTCTAGAGTCGTCTACTTCCCTATGTTTAACCCCTGGCAACCACTGAACTATTTTTTGTCTCTATAGTTTTGCCTTTTCTGAAATGTCATACAAATGAAATCATACAGTCTGTAGCATTATGAATCTGACTTGTTTCATTTTGTATTGGCATTTGAATTGCATCCACCTTGTTGTAACGGCAATTTTTTCCATTCGATCTTTGAGCAATATTCCATCGTATGGATGTATTGCAGTTTGTTTATCCGATCCCCCACGGAGGGACATTTGGGTTGTTTCCAGTTTGGGGTTACTAAAAATAAAGTCATTATAAACCTTTGTGTACAAGCTTTTGTGGGAACATAAGTTTTCATTTTCCTTGAGAAAATATCTAGGGGTTGGATTGCTAGGCCATGTGGTAAGTAGATGCTTAACTTCATGAAACCTGCCAAATTGTTTTCCACAGAGGCAGTACATTTTGCACGCCTACCAGAAATAGATGAGAGTACCACTTGACCACAACTACATCCACATCAGCACTTGGTATCTTCCATTCTTACTTTATTTTTTCTTAGCCAGACATTTAAGTATATTCTGGTATCTCGTTTTTTATTTGAATTTTCCTAATGGCTATGATACTGATTATCTTTTCTACCATCTGCCATCTGTAAATCTTTGGTGAGATGTCCAAATTTTATGCCCATTTTTAAATTGGATTGTTTGTTTCCTTATTGTTGAGTTTGAGGGCTGTATATATTCTGGATACAAATCCTTTCTATCTATATGATCTGTAAATATTTGCTCCTAGTCTGTGGCTTATCTTTTCATTCCCTTAACATTATCTATCAAAGAGCAGAAATCCTTGATTTTGATATAGTCCAAATTATCATTTTTTTTCTTTCATGGATCATGCTTTTGGTGTCATGTCTAAGAAATCTTTGTTTAACTCAAGGTCACAAAGATTTTCTTCTAGAAGTTTTATGGTTTTAGGTTTTATATTTAGGTCTCTGGTCCATCTTAATTTTTTATATGTGGTTCAAGGTTTATTTTTTGCATAGAGACATCCAAGTTTTCTTGTTTTTCTTTCTTTCTTTCTTTCTTTTTGTTTTTTGGCTACACCACGGCATGTGGGATCTTAGTTCCCCAAGCAGGGATCAAACCCATGGCCCCTACATTGGAAGCATGGAGTCTTAACCACTGGACCACCAGGGAAGTCCCTAGACGTCCAATTCTTCCATCACCTTTCAGCAAAAAGACTATCCTTTCTCCCCCTGTGTCAAAATCATATCGATCATATACATGTGGGTTATTTCTGGGCTCTCTGTTCTATTACATTGATTTATATGCCTGTCCTTTCTTAAATGCCACACTGTCTTGATTGCTTTAGTGTAATAAAAAGTCTTGAAATCAGATGGTGATTGTTTGGGCTGTTCTAGATCTTTGCCATATACATTTTAGAATCAGCTTTTAAAATTGTGCTGGGATTTTGATCGAGATTGCATTGAATCGGTACACTGATTTGGGGAGAATTGCTATCTTAACAATATTGAGACTTTCAATCCAGAAACATGGCATATCTCTCTATTTGTTTAGAACTTCTTTGATTTTTTTCATCAATGTTTTGTAGTTGTCATCACACAGATCTTGCATATATTTTGTTAGATTATTACCAATATCATGGGTTTTGGTGATAGTGTAAATGGTATTCTTTTTATTTCAATTTCTAATTGTCATGCCAGTATATAGAAATATAACTGATTTTTGTATAATTGACCTTGTGTCCTGCAACTTTGCTGACAAATTCTAGTAGCTTTTGTAGATTTTCTTTTTGTAGACGGTTATTTTTGGGGGGCGGGGGTTCCTACATGGCAAATCATGTTGTCTGTGAATAGAGATGGTTTTATTTCTTTATTTTCAATCTGTATGCACCCCGCCCCCGCTCCTTTTTGGTGTTATTGCACTAGCCAGGATCTCCAGTAAAATGTTGAATATTAGTGGCAAAAGTAGAGATCCCTGCCTTATTCTTAATCTTAGGGGGAAAGCATTCAGTCACTCACCATTGAATATAAAGTGAGCTGTAGGTTTTTGTAGACCCCATTACCAGGTTGAAGAAGTTTCCTTCTATTCTCGGTTTGCTGAGGGTTTTAATCATGAACAGATGTTAAATCCTATTTTTTCTGCATCTATTGCGATGATCATATTTTATTTTCTTTAGTCTATTGGTGAATTACATTGACTGATGTAATTTTCAAATGTTGAACCAGCTTTTCATCCCCCGCTAAACCTTACTTTGTCATGATGCACTATCCTTTTTTATATATTGCTGGATTTAGTTTGCTAGTGTTTTGTTAAGGATTTTTGCATATATGGTCATAAAGAATATCGGTTATGTCTCTCTTCTCTTGTAAATTATATGTCTGGTTTTAGAATTGGGCTAATGCTGGCCTCATAAAATGAGTTGGGAATGTTCTGTCCTCTTCTGTTTTCTGGAAGAGTTTTTTAGAAATGGTATTATTTTTTTCTCTAAATGTTTGGTAGAATTTGCCAATGAAGCAATCTGGACCTGGAGTTTAATCTGTTGGAAGGTCTTAATACAATTTCAGTTTCTTTAATAGATATAATTTCAGTTTCTTTAACAGATAACCTGAATTGATCTAATCTGAATAGATAATCTATTCAGGTCATCTATTTCTTCTTGAGTGAACTTTGGTAGTTTTCATCTTAAGCAACTTGTCCATACCATCTAAGTTGTAGAATTCATGGACAAAACAGTTGTTCATAACATTCCTTCATTATCCTTTTTAATGTCTATAAAGTCTTAGTGATATCTCCTCTTTCACCTCTGATATTTGTAATTTGTGTTTTTTAAAGTTTTCCTTGGTCAGTTTGTCTAGAGGTTTGTATTAGTTATCTATTGCTGCATAGCACATCACCCCAAAACATAGTGGCCTAAAACAACACACTCTTATTATCTCACAATTTCTCTGGGTTAGGCTGGAAATAGTTTAGTTAGTTGGTTCTGAATCAGCACCTCTCATCAGGCTACAGTCAAGATGTCAGCTGGAACTACAGTCATCAGGTTTGACTGAGGCTGGATGATCCACTTCCAAGCTCACTCATAGGACTATTGACCAGAGGCTTCAGTTCCTCACCATGTGGGTATGACATGGGAGCTGGCTTTCCCCAGAGTGAATGATCCAAGGGGAGAGAGTGAGAGAGAGGGTCTAAGACTCTTGGAAGTAGAATGCCATGCCTTCTGCCATATGCTATTGCTTACAAGGACCAACCCTCAGACAATGTAGGAGGTGACTACAAAGGTTATGAGTTTCAGGAGGCAGGGATCCTTGGGGGCCATCACAAGCTGGCTTCCACAGGGTTTAACAATTTTATCGATCTGTTCAAAGAACCAGCTTTTGGTCTCTTTGATTTATCTTTATTATGTTCCTATTCTTGATTTGATTGATTTCTGCTCTTATCCTTATTATTCCCTTCTTTCCACAGATAGATAAATCTTACCGAGAAGATGTATATGACCTCTTTCCCGGGACATTCCAAACCATTGAACTGTTTGTGGATCACCCAGGGACATGGTTATTACATTGTCATGTATCTGACCACATCCATGCTGGCATGGAGACAACCTACACCGTCCTTCAAAACATCGGTACTGTTATCTGTCGGTCATGCTGACTTAGATAGCACCAGGCTTCCTGTAGACCCTGAAAATAGGAGGCATGAGAACATAGGAGGCATGAGCTCCCCAAGGAGCTCAGAGTCAAGTAAGAGAGACAGACATTTAACCATAATAGAATATGACATATGCCAAGATAGAGTGCAGAGTGCAGGGTTCAGTGACAGCAGCAGGAGGCAATGATTAACAGTTTGGACACGTGAGCCAAGGTTCCATAGATGAATCTTAACAGGTGAGCAGAAGCTTGCAATGTGGATGGGGTATGAACAGCATGTGTACTGGCATGAAGTAGCACAGTGAGTATCCAACAAAGACTTACAGATACTGGTGGGATAAAGTCTTTGTTGGTGAAATGACATAACTCCTGAAACAACTCATGTCATGAAAAGAATCTACTCCTATTGTTTGTAAACCATCAAATTGTCTTCTTTGTCCAAACAACAGGATTCCTTACTCCACCAAGCCTCCTTCTGGAGGAGCGTCCCACCCGGCCACAGCGCCCTCTAATGGTATTGATACCCTCCCCCAATCCTGCACGTGAATGGTCAGTATTCACTCCCCAGGGAAAGGCAGAGGCCTGACACCTTACTTTTCTTTTGCGCAGAAGAACCTGGCAAGGAGCAGCTCTACTTCTTCGGCAAGAATCTGGGTCCCAGAGGAGCCAAAGCAGCCTTGGTCATCCTTTTCATCATCGGACTCCTCCTTCTGGTTGTCACGGTGATTCTCTCCCTCACACTGTGCTCTGCAAGGAAGCGGGTGGCATATCAGGAAGTCCGGTCCTGCGCGCTCCCCACGGATGCTCTGTGACCTGCTCGTCTTCCTCAGTAGGGAAAATGGACCAGGGTCTCGTTCACCAAGGAAGTCTGACTCTGTTCCTGGATCAGGCTCTGATCCTCTGGAACACGTTCAAAGCAATTTGCTTTTATTTATTTATTTTAAAGGGGCTGTGAATAATCCTCAGGATAAAACAGAGAAAAGGAAGGGTGGGCATGACTGAGAAAACTGACCCAGTCTGTTCTCTGAATGAATTCGCTGAAGTGGGAAGACCCTCTGAAAGATATCTTTGTTTTCTTTCTTTCATAATTCTTAGATTAGATAGTGCTTCCTTAACAAGCCGTCAAATTCTCTAGATGGACAATTTCGGGAAAGAGTTACCCTGCGTCAGACATCTAACTTGAATGGCGCTGATTTTTCAATGTTGTTATGTAACATGCTTCCCTTAGTGGTTCCAGGAAAAATAACTTTCTGAGGAGTTCATGAAAATGTCTAAATCAGTATCTGCTGATAGAATTTGACCAAATGAAATTTTTGGAGGTTTTAGCCAGCTCCCCTGACATTTTCCTCTTTCATATAAATAGCTTGTGCATTGTTTGCTATAAAAGGCAGAGTTATATGCATTTTTTTAAATTCTGCCTGTAGAGATGCAAACCTGTAGAGATACTTAAATGTTTACGACTCACTTCATGTTACACATTTTTACAAGATGTTTCTGTGGCAATGCTTGTATTTTCAAAAATCAGCTGGAGAATTTATATTTGTATTTCAGAATGTGGAGGGCTGGGATCTGAAATAGCAGGCTAGTTCTCCCACTGTGAGTCAAGACACTCCCTGAGAGTTTAGTGGGAGCTTCTAAGGGGAGGGAGGACTTTGCAGGAGGCAAGTCTGACCTTGAATCTTGAGTCTGATTTTTCATTCAGTTAGGAGGATCTTCCCCGGTCTCCATCTTTTATAGAATAAAAACAGTCTCATCATGTAAAAAAATACCAGGAAGAATTAGTCGATGCAGCTGACTGGCTGGGAGGAGAAGGGATCTCACAAAATCCTCGAGTCCATGCCTCTTAAAAACATAGCCTCTGATGGGAAGAGGAGAGAAAAGAAAAGGCAAAATTGTCCTGGTGGCAATTTTTCAAACCAACAAGTCAGCTCTGAGATATGTATTACAGTTTTCAAGTCTCAAATACAAAATAAAATATTGAACAACTAAACTCAACCCATTACGAGGCAATCCATACTCTCTATATGCATGCCTAAGCTTTAGGTGTAAGATTGATAAAAGCAACATTTATTACTAGACTGAGAAATTGCCTTTAGCCCACGCTGCTGCCAGATGAGTGATACTAGTCCATCTGCCTTAACAGTGGATCATTTTGCTGTCCAGGTGAACAAGTAGGACCTAAAAAATACTCTGGTGGAGGGACTTTTCATACCTTCTCATCTTCATCTTGGTGAGGGGAAACAGGTATTTTGATAGAGGCTACAGTCTTACATAAAACAGGATGCGAATGCTAATAGTTCTGTTCATAATCTGCTTGAATGTCATATCAAACATGGTACCCAAGGATTTTGAATTCCAGCCTGCTAACCACTGATAATGAGATTTTGTAGTACGTGCTCTACAGTTTTCAGACATGTGTAGGCTGTATAATTTCATAATAATAATCATGATAAATGACAGACTTATAACTCACCTAGACAACAAATTATTTAGTTATAAGTTTTTTCCTTTTCTCTTAGGTTATTTTTTTAATGAAAATGAAACCACAAAGTAGTTTGATTATACCGTTTCTCTTTTTAATAAAGTTTCACATATCATAAAGATGGCTATTTGCATGTTTTTTTTCCAACCCCCTACCCCAGGTACAGTGATAGGTAATTTATTTTACCTGGAGCAGATGTTTAGTTAAAGGAGAATTATCTTTTAGATATTTAGCAACTATCCTAGTTATACTCGTTAGAAGAAATGAAACAAAGTAACAATATATCTCTACAGATAACACACTCTCCCCAAACATTGTTTCCTCAAATGTACCACATTTCTTCATTCTAATCAACCACATTTATACACATCTTTTCCTCCTGTTACAACAGAAGAAGTGTCCCTCCTCCTAGCAGGGCCAATCTCTCCCTTAACTCTGGACCACATCCCTTCTTGCTTTCCCAAGAACTTCATTCCCTCACTTTTCAGTTTTCCCTCCTGCATGAAGTCATCAAAAATACCCTTCATTAAAAATAGAAAACAAACAAAGAGCCATTGCCTTTAACTCCATAACCTCCTCTAACCCAGTTTCTCTGGGCCCTTGATAGCAGAACTGAAAGTACTGCCCACACATTGTCTATATCACCTCACCCTATGCATCCCTCCACCCATTCCAAAGGCTTCCCATCCAGAGGGCCCTGCCCCACCCCGACTTTGCGTCCCAATCTGCTGTTATCAAAACCATAAGAACTGTAATAATCATAATGGAAATGATTCCGTTTCCTGTGGCTTCTTCCCCATCTTTATTTTACTTGACATCTCAGTAACCATTGGCAGCTCCTTGCTTTTAGATCCCCTCTAGTTCCTTGGCTCCAACATGACCTGCCAGCCTTGCTTTTTCCTCAGTGGCTACTCCCTCTCAGTCTCTTGCTAGGTCCTTCTTCTCCCTCTGACTTACATGTTAGCATGACCCAGGGCTTGAACTGGGCCCTTTTCTCCCTTTTGCCCTCTGGGGTGTGCTGAATAATATCTCCATAGATTCCATGTCCCTGAACCTGTGAATGTTATCTTATATAGCAAAAAGACTTTGTAGCTATGATTAAGTTAAAAACCTTGAGATGGGAAGTTTGTACTGGATTACCTAGATTGGCCCTAAATGTAATCACAAATGTTCTTATAAGATAGAGACAGAGGGAGATTTGACTACAGAAGGAGGCTGTGTGACAACTGAAGTAAGATGCTGAGCTGCTAGCTTTGGAGATGGAGGAATGCTGCTCTAAAAGCTGGACATATATACACTACCAAATGTAAAATAGATAGCTAGTGGGAAGCAGCCGCATGGCACAGGGAGATCAGCTCGGTGCTTTGTGACCACCTAGAGGGGTGGGATAGGGAGGGTGGGAGGGAGGGAGATGCAAGAGGGAAGAGATGTGGGAACATATGTATATGTATAACTGATTCACTCTGTTATAAAGCAGAAACTAACACACCATTGTAAAGCAATTATACTCCAATACAGATGTTAAAAAAAAAAAAAAAAGCTGGAAAAGGCATGGGAATGCATTCCCCACTAGAGCCTCCGGAGGGAGCTTTGTCCTGCTGGCACCTTGATTTTATTCCATTGAAACTGATTTCGGACTTCAGATTTCCAGAACCGTTAGAGGATAAATGTGTGCCACGAAGTTTGTGGTAATTTGTTACACCCTCTCCATAGGTTATTTCACTCATCCTCATGGATCTGAAAACCATCTTTATGCTGATAAATTCAAAATGTGTTCCTCCTTGGGTTGCAAACTACAAGTCCTATTCAAGCAGATCACGGTAGCAGTCCCCTAACCAGTCTCTCCCTTTGTCACTCCTGTCCCTTCCAGCCACAGTCCACACAGCTGCAGCAGTGTTCTTCCACATCTGATCACATCACTTCCCTGGTGAATCTCCTTTACTGTCTTTCCACTTCACTTTCAATAATATCTACACTCCTTACCTTCGTCAGTAAGACTCAGACCGATTTGGCTGCCCAACATGTCCACCTCTCCAACTTTATCTCTGGCTCCTCTCTGCTCCAGCTTTTATCAGTTCCTGTGCCCTGCTAGTTCCTTCTTGCCTCAGAGCCTTTGCACCTACCGCTTTCTGTGCCTGGAATGCTCTTTCTCTCTAGCACCCTCATCCCCTTTCCTGCCTTTCCTACTTCAGATGTGAGCTCCCCAGAATGCCCTTTCTAAAGTGTTATTTCCAATTTCCATTATTTTCCTTTGTAGCACATATCACGGGACATATCCATTTTACTCGTTAGTTTGATTTTTGTCTGCTTCTTTGACTGAAATGTAGGCTCCATGGAAGCAAGGACCCCAGACCTGTTTTGCTCACTGCTGCATCCCCAGCACAGACCATAGTGTAGATACATAATAGTTGCTCAGCAAATATTACTTGAATGAATAAATGAATATATAAACTGAACAGGCAGAACAGGGCTTAACTATCTTGACTTTGACTATTTTGGTCACGAAAGAGCTCATATTCAAATGTCAATTGTCGAGGATACCAAGCAAACAAAAACCAGTTCTGGCACCATAGCTGTGAAGCCCACAGCTGCTTTGGCCTTCTAACTACTGACACTGGGACAAGGAGTGGGGGAAGGGAGGATTTGGAGGAGGATGTGTTATTTAATCCCTAAATGCATGTTATAATTATAAAAAGCAATGTCATCAAAAATAAGGAAATCCTAAGAAATTTTCACGGCTAAGGGGAGCTAACGAGACAAGACAACGAAAAATAATATGGTATCCCTGTATGGGATCCTAGAACAGAAGAAGGATAGTAGGTAAAAATTAAGGAAATCTCAATAAACTAGACTTTAATTAATATAAATTTATCAATATTGGTTTGTGAATTGTACCAAACGTACCATGTAGGGGAAACCGCTACAGGTGTCTTGTACCATCTACTCAATTTTTCTGTAAATCTGCAACTGTTCTAAAAATTAAAGTTTATTTTTTAAAAAAGCAACATTATACATACTGTCATGTGACACCTTAAACTTCTGAGATTGGTAGTGACAGCTATTAAAAGCTAAGTGCCCTGGGGAGGGGGAAGGGTAAACTGGGACAACGTGAGAGAGTGGCATGGACATATATACACTACCAAATGTAAAATAGATAGCTAGTGGGAAGCAGCCGCATAGCACAGGGAGATCAGCTCGGTGCTTTGTGACCACCTAAAGGGGTGGGATAGGGAGGGTGGGAGGGAGATGCAAGAGGGAGGGCATATGGGGATATATGTATATGTATAGCTGATTCACTTTGTTATACAGCAGAAACTAACACAATGATGTAAAGCAATTATACTCCAATAAAGAAGTTAAAAAAAATCTGCCATGACGTGGCAGGCACTGTTACATATATGATCACATGTAATCCTTAGAACAACCCAATGAGGTAGGCGGTCTTACCCTTATTAGGCAAATGAGGACATTGAGACTTAGAGATTCTCAGTGATATACCTTTGGTCACATAGCAAGTAAGTAGCCAGTCCAGGAGTTGAACCCAGGCCCTTACTTTCTCATTTCCTGCCAGAGAAACTTGGCACACATTGGATTATTTGATCTGATTTTTGCAGTAGGAAAAATGGCTCCTTTAAC